GCAACTAACTTGATATACGAGTTGTGTGTGTGAAATATGTTATAAGTAATAACTCTTTTTAATTAATTTAAGAGGTGGTACCTTAAGAAAAAATACAGACCGGAATAGATTTTGTCTACTCGATTAGTTGTGTGTGTGTGAAATACGTTATAAGTAATAACTCTTTTTAATTAATTTAAGAGGTGGTACCTTAAGAAAAATACAGACCGGAAAATATTTTGTCTACTCAATTATTAATGTAAATGTAGTAGTTATGGTAAAAAAAGAAAAAGTTTCGTTATGGATTTTGAAAGCCTACGGAATTAGGACTTTAAAATATTACAATATTTATTTATTTTTTTAACTTTTGAAAGGGCACAAGAAAATTATGCTTGTTCTAATTTCTCTATTCCTAAGAACGTATCTTTTAAATACCTGACAGGTTAAACTGCGATAAACGATGTGGTAAGGCCGGAAATCCTTATTTTGATGTCACGGCGTGTGTAATTCACGTCTTATGACAGTAGAGGGCCGGTTTGTTACAGTGTATGTGTATTAAAGATTGAAAATGTGTAAAAAAAAATAATGTATATGTATACATAATTAGTCTTAGTGGATGTAGAAAAAGGGTCACGTAAAATAGTACAGTTCAGAACAATTGTTTTAAACAATAATTATTCAAACTACATTGAAAATTTTCGAATTACTGATATTTAAAGAGATAAAAGAAAAATATGAACAATAATTAAATTAAAGCAAAACAGTTCTCTCATTTTGATTGAGGAAATATGTTACTTGCCACACAATCACCTACAAAATACAGTCACTAATATGATAGCCCCTCAATCATAATTCCAGTTAAGCCTAATAACCATTGTGCGAGGACTTAAAAGTATAGGTTGTCATATACTGTTGTAATGCAGGAAGGTAAAGTGATCATGTAGAATTGACCTTTTACTTACCGTGGCTTATTTATCACGAGAAACAAAAGCTAGTTGTCACAGTGTTGAAATTTCAATAAAGCTACTCCACAAAACCTATTACAGATCTAGGTCGATTCAGCAATAAAGAAGCCATTTTTAAACTTCTTGGTCTGACTGCCCTGTTTACCTTTTCACATTTTTGTCTTTCAGTATTGAAGTTCCCAGTTTTCTGTCTGTCTGCCCTATCTAATTGTCTATCCATCTGTTTCATTATTTGTATCTGTAACCCTACTTTTTTTTTATCTATCTTTCTGACTCTTATCTACACATCTATCTACTTATTTGCATATTTTCCATAAATCTTTTCAACACACGCACATCTATTATTTCCAAATAACCGGTAGGAGATAGGTTGGTTGACTAGATATACGTTTATTTCTTGGTCAATCACAGACAACAGTGGCTACAATTTTTGTTTGAACAATACAACTGATTATAAAAACAATATGTTTGCTGTTCTTGTTTTTTTCGTTTTCTACAAACAACATTCATCTAGCTAATTCAGTTTTAATCTAAAAACACTTTGTTTCGTAACCAAGACGTTTTTATGTGACCAGCAGTAAATTAACCTCACAAAAAAGTTAAGTTTTGAACTTGTTTGTACATGGGTGGAACTCTCGTGCCTACTATTGTTTGTTAACTGATCTTGATTTTTTTTAATTTCACCCTCAACTCGCGGGCGTTGCGGTTTCCAGCAAAGAGCTCAGGTAAGATATTAACTTTGTAACAATGTTATATTCATTAACGTGACATTAACTTCATTACAATTATCCCTTTCGAACATGCCGCGCGCGGGGGCGGTTTGGCTCAAAGCCAAGTGGTCCTCTTTGCAGTGACCTGAACTAATCATTAATACACGCTTTAATGAACAATAATATTATATTATAATAACTCTTAACTATAGGCCTGAGAGCTAACAGGTCTAATCGCTGTCATCACTTTTAACCCCAAGTTCTTCGCCACTGTTTCAAATTATACCTACTCTTTAAAGAATAACGAACTTTGGATGAGACATAGTATCATCAGTGCCCTCCCCCCTTTTTTTTAATCGCAGACGAACAGTTTTGTGTTTAGATGTCTCCCACCCCTCCACCACCATCCCACTTCAACGACTTAATGTATTAAATGTCAACTATTTTTTAGTGTATGAATTAACATATTTTAAAACATGTACTGAGGAATTGGCCCCTGACTAGTTCGAAGTGTTAGGTTAGAATAACAAAATACTGGTTCAAAGAAAATTACTAAGGAAACCCGTACCATTTAATAAAAAAATCTGCCTCTGGCGGCAAACGCAATTATTGCGTAACTTCCGGCAATGTACTAAATTCTTGAATTAGGATAATAATCCTAATTATTATGTTATGTTGATATGAGTTCACTAACACGTTTTACATAGTGTCAGCAGTTACGTGTAAACATTTGAAACTGGCCTTGTATTTCAACTACGAACATTATTACGTTTTCCTTACAAAATATTAAAATTATTGAAATAAGACATTATTTAACTTTATAGATTTCTTACTTCTAGTTCACTTCAACTCCTAACATTTGCAGTGCTAGTGCTCAGATGAAGAAATGGGTCTTAGTGGTTGACGTCCCGTGATGCTGATCGAGAGGTCTGAAGGTCGAACCGTAATATGCTGTTATGTTCTGCACTTTCAGCTGTGAGGGCATTATAACCGTGGCAACCAATCCCACTAGTCGGTTAAGAGTACGTCATATAATCATCATTGGGTGTTGTTATTCTTCTTCTGATCAGCAGTTCTAAATTAGGGATGACTAGAACCGAACCTTGGGTTCTCTGACCAGGCCATGTGTGGCATAAGGTGCTATTTGGGTTGGAAATATCAAAGATCAGATTAAGGAAACGAAATAAGAGCATTTTTTATGGACCGTATGTCCAATAACTTCCTATATTTATATACACAAGAAGGACAGTTTTCATCATAATTATAAAACAAGTTTCCATTGCACGATTTTGTAAGAAAATTGGTTTGACGTGGTATCGCTTTTACATTTTATTTCTTGTTTTAAAATACATATCAAGCACTAAACAGCATATGTCACAGTACGTTTATTTAGGTAAATATTCAACACATTATTCTTATGGCATACCTAATATCATTTATCAAACTTTTAAATCCCACATCATATTTTATTTTTAAGTGACATATTAATTCTTCAGATACAAGCAATTTGCTAATATACTTAATTTCAGATTTTTGAAATACACTTTTCATATTATATTATATAACCATGTTTTATCTGCTGTACATATACATCTTTTGATATCAGCGGGTGTATACAAATAACTTTATATAACAATTTATACACATGCTCCCATCTGTTGTTCTTTTTTGGAACTACTGAATTCGAAACATTTTTCACCTCTTAACGTTAAGGGATCAGTAAAGCTAAATTATTCATAATTCTACCATTGTATTCAGTTTCCCGTGTCTACATTTTGATATCTCTGGGTGGTAAGTTTTATTTGCATTTAATAACATCGACAGTCGAACATATGCAGAGCTATGTATAGTGCCAACGCATAACTACAGAAATATCCCTACGAATTTGAACTACTTTATGAAATTTACGTAATTAGTTTATGAAAAAAAGTACATATTTATTATTAATTTAAAATAAAAATATAAGGCCACGTGTATTCAAATCAGTTATTTTATCAAAAAGTTAAAAATATACGAGAAAAGTCAAATTTTATTCACTCGGCGTGAAGTTTTCTTCTTCAGTTTAATACTGAAATTACGAACCCATGTTCATTATTGTTATCGATGTTTTAAACATTGCAGAGTAACCAAGGAATTTAACAAACGAATACTTTTTCAAGATTCTTTAACAAAAGTGAATAATAGTTTTGTTTCACTCAAAAAAAAAATCCTTCATTTATATCACTTATCATATTTTAATATTTGTATACTATGTTGCTATTAAATATCTCAATGACTGGATCAGTTTTTGAGGCATTTGTATTACGTCAAAATTTTTCCCGAGTAATCAATCCTGGATAACAGATCAATAACACAATAACACGGAAATTAAAGAGGTACAATCCATTAACGGCAAGTAATGAATTAGGGCAACTGTTTCCGAATTTGTAAACATATGAGGAGTTTTAGTGGTATTATTAAGACCATTTTAAATCTCGAAAATAAAATAACTAAATATCTTAGAAACTTGGCCTGGAGCAAGTATCCATGACTAAGTTATTTGTGTATTAAATTCCTATGACAATAATTATTTCTAACAAGTATGTTAAACAGGGTTGACTTCACTGGTTTATAATTTACGTCAATCTTCTGATCTATACAATCAACATGATTTTATCAGAAGCTATAAATAATTCGTTTAATTATCAATAAAATTTGAATACAAACATTATCAGTTGTTAAGATCATACAATCCTGAAATTAAATTGAGGGTCAAAATTAGTTCATGACTTTTACGTAAGCCTTGTAAAGGCTCGTGTCCACATGACGTTTCGCAACCTTAAACTAACCTTTTCTCCCACGTACAGCAGACGATTATCAAACAAACCAGTGTTTTCAGTCGATGTTTATTACCAGATATGTTTCAACACACGCTTCGGGAGCAATCGAATTATTTTAATAGAAGAAATCGTTGAGAAACATTTTGCTTAATGTATCAAAGTTGTCAAAAGCGTTGGCTTACAGTTTCAGCAACACTAAGTCAACAGAGCTTGAGAAAGGTTTCAGTATTTTAAAGTTTTTTCACAGATACAAACATATACTTTCATCAACGTCATGATAAATACAGAAACAAACCAAATATTAATTAACGAACAATACAGTTTAGTTTATGGTAGACAATTTTTAAATTCTTAACAATCAGTAAACGATTCGTTTTAGTTGTTTTGTCCACCACTAGATGCTTAGTTACCTTAATAACAGTCAGGTTGAAATTTATTTCCTTCTTTTGACAACTATTAGAATAATATTAATTTATAATTGTAAATATAGAGGCTAATTTGGCGGCGAAATTATCACAAAAAAAATGACACTGTCCATACAATTTTTAATATGGAATGTTTTATTCAAGTAAAACATAAAATAAAATCTCCAGAGATATGTACTTCACAGATTCCACCACTGAGGCGCCATCTTAGTATTTTATTGTGTAAAATATCCAAAAATCTGCAACTTCACTGGCTATCAAGAACAAGGAAGAACTTTCTTCGATATGAACGTCATTTGGACGAGACTGTTAATTGATGTTAACGTCGGTTGTTACGAGGCATAAGAATAAAATTCGATATAAAAGATGCCTTGGGTTTCAAACAACGAAAAATAAATTTTGCTTATATCTTTCCAAAAACAAACGAACAACAACAAAAAAAGATACAACACTGATAAACTGATTCAAGCCAATTACATCAAACAAGTTTGGCGCTCTTTACCTTAACTTTATAAGCACTTTAGGGGTGATTGTACAAAACAGTAAGGTGATATGAATGAACAAGCAACATTACAAACATTTTCTCGTAAAACATAACAAAAAACACGTCTTATGTCCATCGACGACGGTAACTATTTAACTTTGAGAACCATATAGTTGAAGAGAATATTTCACCTTGTAAACATTAACTTCACTAATATTGTAATACAGAAAGTTACACGGTTATGTTTTTGTAAAATGCAAAGTTCGGGCTAATCTTTCTTGTGAAACTACATAGATGAATCTAACCTGCTCAGCATCATTCCGGGCAGAACAAATACTAATTTTATATTTTCAGCTCCTCCCTCTACCGGTATGTTTAGTAACTAACGTATATAGGAACCCGAAAAAATGGACGGACAATTGGTCTTTCGTATGATACACGTTATACAAATTCTTTCTTAACCAAACCATTTCAAATTATCTAAGCTTCAGAAATAGGCGGGGCGAGCTATTAATTTCTCCTATGTACACAAAGGGAATTTAAACAATACGTACAAGTCGCCATATGCAGGATATCCAACTGTAATTACTTTAAAAAATCAGGAATAAAAGTTAATTTACGATAGGCACCTGGCCAGCAATGCATGGCCTAGTGATGATCGTATTTTACACGTATTTACAACTACTTCAGAATAACCCCATAAGCCACAGTCGAGTAATTTGATTTTATAAACAAGTAACAAGTTTAAAGAACGAACCCGATGCAAATTAAACATTTCCAACAGCACTTCTCCAAGTAGAGAAGATAGCGGCACTTGTTACTAAAATTATATCTCAACAAGTCTCGTGCCATTCGAGACTACACGAGATTAGCAGAAACAGGGAGTATCGGCATATCTTGTTTGCTGCTTACTAGGAATCACGTTTCGCCGTCACTCTTGGGTAAAGCTGAAAAACAGTATACATCACAGAATTACTTTTAAGCTTTACATTTAAGTTAATTACACACCTACAATTCGATTATAAATACGTCATAAAGGATACAAAGAGCACTAAGCTTCACGTACATATCTCATAATTACAGCATACTGGACATACATCGGTAATAAGTATCATAATAAATTACGATAAGGCTAAAATTATCTCAAATACTTTATGTGCTATGTGGGTTGATAATATACGATGTACCGAGATAACACTTTATAAGCACACAACTATTTATTGGATCAAAGTTTTTATACACTACGGTCACCTACTTGTCAATATAATAAATATATTTATAACTCATTTTCTGGTTAATTCAAATACAACAGCTAAACATTAGTTGTATGACATAAATCTTGAAAGTATAACTTTATATATATATATATATATATTTGTTACCAGACTTAATTTCTTTAACTTATGATATTATTAGACATTACTCTGACGAAATATTTACAAGCACATAGAACTTTTTTATACTGTTAAGCCTACTTAGCGGTTGTAGGTAATTATGAATACCTATTTTACTAATGAATTGGTAGTAAAAGTGGTCGAATTCAAACCATACGATTGAATCCCCTCCCTTTTTTTTTGGAAAAAGGTAATAACAATAACTCGTTAACCTTAAATGTGAGACACATTTGTACACACCAGCATATAATATTTCGGAAGAACAAAATATACCACTCACACCAAGTAGATTTCTGGGAATGTACCCTTCTCTGTCTTTAAGACGAGACCACCACCATTCTCTTTCTTGCTCGTCTCCTTTCCTCAGTACGACTATCATATCGCCATCTTTAAAAGACAATTCATCCTGATTCTGAGCATCGTAATCATACACTGCATATACAGCGCCACCATTCAAGATGCCGAGTTTTTCTTGAACACCTAAAAAAAAAAAAAATGTAACTGATGCCGACAAATTAGCAATAACTATGGCTACGATTTATAAATATGTGATTATTTTACAATGATGAGGAATCAAAAAAAAAAAAAAAAAAAAAAAAAAAAAAAAAAAAAAAAAAAAAA